CGTCCCCCCGCTTTGTCAGGTCTGCAGGCTCCTCCCACTTCCCCAGGTGTCCCCCGACTTCGTCAGGTGTGCAGGCTCCTCCCACTACCGCAGCCACCCCCTACGTCTTCAGTCAGGGAGACCCCAAGCTCCCAATGCAGAGGGCACCTGGCTGGCTCCTCTCTCGTGGCCCAGTCACCTCTTCCCACCTGAAGGCGCCTGTTTCCTCATTTCTTTTCCCACGAAACTTACTCATTAGCATCCTCACCCCGTTCTAGGAATCTCAACACACCACTTTCTGTCTGGAGGTTTCAGTCAGTCATTCTCTCAAACTTTAAACGTCTCGGATGAGATCTCAGAAGGGGCCTGCCCGCCCCGTGACAAAGCGCAGGGGACACAGGTGCCCTCCTGGCCACGATGGCGGCCGCACAGGCCAGAGCAGTCTGGGGGCTCCGCGCTCCCCTCTCCTTCCCCTCCCTGTCTCGCTGAGGACTCGGCAGACAGAGGCCAACGGCCACCCAAGGCCTCCAGGAGCCCCCGGCCCAGCCCGCGGAGAGCGAAGCAGCCCCCAGATGAGCCATGGGAGCTCAGCAGAGACGGGAAGGAGCCAGACCCTGGGAGGTCCGAGATGGGCAGCGGCGTCCTCCCTCCCTCCCCCGTCCCGCAGCCCCCATCCCCGCTCAGGCAGCCATGCGCAGTGCTCCCTGTCAAGGCCTTTTCCCGGGGTGGGGCTTCAGCCACCCCGCCCCCCACCCTGCCCGTGGCCAGAACCCACACGCTCACATCCCCTCATCCCAGCGTCTGGGTTCCTGAACTCTACTGGACAGAAAATTCAGTTTCTTTTGTAAAAATGACATATGCTCTTTGGAAGGAACTTAAGGTTGACAAGTGCCAGAATGAACATTCACGAAGCCTCCAAATGCCACTGCCGGAAACCTGCCCTCATGAAGTTGGGGGGCTCACTCCAGGCATCTGGCCACAGCTTTGCCTTTTTCAGAATGTTGGAGAGTTGGGGTCACACAGAATAATTTCTCTCAGTGATAGCACAAGGCCGCCTGCCTTTCCAAGGCTCGAGAACATCTTTTCAGGACTAAGTAACGTTCCATCCCCTGGATGCACAGTTCATTTCTCCATTCATCCACTGAAGGGCATCTTGGCTGCATTCTTCCTTCAATTTCTACAGGTATTTTTCTTTTTTCTTTGTAATTCATATTCTTTAGCTGTTGGAACACCCACACTGAGCCTCCATTTTTTTTCCATATCATTTACCACCTGTCATTGTGCTGTGAGATGTTTCCTTTATTCTCTAAACCTTCCTTTGATTTTATTTTTGCTTTTGAAAAATTATTTGTTTTTACAAACAGGGTCTCACTCTGTCGACAGGCCACAGGCATCACAATGGCAGATCCCAGCTCACTGCAGCCTCAATCTCCTGGGCTCAAGTGATCCTCCCACCCTGGCCTCCCGAGTAGCTCGGACTACAGATACCCGCCAGCTCATTTTTCTTTTTTTTCAGAGACGGAGTCTCACATTGTTGCACAGGCTGGAATGCAGTGTGTGATCTTGGCTCACTGCAACCTCCACCTCCCAGATTCAAGGGATTCTCTTGCCTCAGCCCCCTGAGTAGCTAGGATTATGGGTGCATGCCACCATACCTGGCTAATTTTTTGTATTTTAGTAAAGACAGGGTTTCACCATGTTGCCCAGGCTGGTCTCGAACTCCTGAGCTCAGGCAATCCACCTGCCTCAGCCTCCCAAAGTACTAGGATTACAGGTGTGAGCCACCATGCCCAGCCTAACTTTTTTACTTTTTCTTAGAGAGACGGAGTCTCACTTTTTCCCCAGGCTTGTCTGGGGTAAAAGAAGAAGCTATCAGAAGTAACACAGTCCAGGATGGAGCTGCTAGGACAAATAACTGAGCATACTGACATACCGATTCTTTGAAGAGAAATGCAGAACTCATTGCATCCAACACTGGTCAGAGCCAAGGCATTCAGAACTCTTTATATTATTATTTAAGAGAAAAAGAAAGCAATTTATTAACTTCAGACTTTACTACAGCAAATGTGAATGTGAATCCCAAAGTGCTGGGATTACAAATGTGAGCCACAGCCCGGCGAGGTGGCTCACACCTCTAATCCCAGCACTTTGGGAGGCCGAGGAGAGCGGATCACGAGGTCAAGAGATCGAGACCATCCTGGCCAGCATGGCGAAACCCCGTCTCTACTAAAAATACAAAAATGAGCTGGGCGTGGTGGCACACGCCTGTAGTCCCAGCTACTTGGGAAGCTGAGGCAGGAGAAGTGCTTGAACCCGGGAGGTGGAGGTTGCAGTGCAAGATTGTACCACTGCACTCCAGCCTGGTGACAGAGCAAGACTTTGTCTCAAAAAAAAAAAAAAAAAAAAGTGTGAGCCACTG